CCCCAAAACCCCAAAACCCCAAAACCCCAAAACCCCATTTCGATATTTCAATAATGAAAATTTTGAGGTTATAATTATTAATATGTTAGCTATAAATAGTAAGAAGAAGGTACGAATTATGCTATTAATGGACCTGGCTGAGCCATCCTGCTTCCACAAAAGGTGCCTCAAGTCTCATGGCTTTTGGCTATTAATGACTACAACCTTATCTCTTGTTCATATGTTAATATTGAGTTTAGAGCATTAGAAGGAATTACGCAGAATTGAAAAGAAACAACCTTAGCAGTCAGAGCTGTGACGATAACCTATCTGATCGCATGCAACAGAGGAAGCTTAAATTGGGCCTCACGAAGCTTAAGATCATGAAAAATTTCAAGAGTGAGCAACTACCTGATAGGTACGCATTCATGGCTTAATCATTAGTAGTGAATATTACTTAGTGAAGCACCACAAGAGATCCAACCTGAAGGAGAATAGGATCAATGGGTTCCTGGATTCTATGAAGGTCCGACAGATCCATCTTGACGCAGTCCTCAAGGCAGTGAAGGCCTAAAACATCACAAAATTTGTACATAAACCATAATTTCTCTTAATAGTATTTAATCCAAGACTTCGGTTCTTATTCTTGAAGTGTCCTTGACAGTTAATTCCAGGTTTAGGGAAATGATTTACTCTCTTTTTATATGGAATATTTTGGCGAAAAAAAGGAGTCTATAGAAGTTCCTCCATAAACTTTTTCAGATGATCTGCACTGAAGTAGATATGAGAATGAAGGCCAGTACTAAAATACCTTTAGTGGCTAGATGGTAAAAACTCACTATAAATATCTTACCTTTTCAATAAAGTTGAAATATTTTTACTAGTACTAAGCTCAATAAGTATTTCTCAGTATGCTGGTGAAATATGCTTTCTTCAACGTTGATGAGCACAATTAGCACCTTAATAACAAACATTCAGAAGGAGAAGGCCATCTTATAAATTGTGAAACAATGTAATCAACTCCTTAAGAAAAGTTACACCATTTATTTACAAGTTAAGCTCTTACTTCTCAGATGGATCTGAAATAATCCATGAAGGATTGTATCCCCCTCTTCTAGCTCACTATGGTAACATCCTCATTACAGAATCCCTTGCGTGTTGTTAATATCTGCCAGAGGAGTTATCTGTATGAAGGAAGCAGTTTTAAGGAGAGATACTTCCATGGACAAGCGTTCTCTAGATATTCGAATTTATGGGGGTAAATTAATAACTTGTATGCAAGCCAGCCCCCTTTGACTAATATCTAGCTGTCTGAGCTGGTTAGGTTAGCGATTTGTAGAATAATTTACCATTTTTATCAATGGATCTGGGCTAAGACCCATTTTTGGAGTAAAAAGTTTCTAGAGTTTTCGGTTCTGAAGTTGACCTGAGTATTTAGACTTATTTTGAACAATATTAGTGAGAGAGACTCTGTGTTTATGCTCGATGAGAATCAAGCACATTAGGGCATAATTCTCACATATAGTAGCCTAAAACTGTTTATTTACCTGGATTCATTAGACTTTGAAATATTAAAATAATGTGAATAATTTTTATGGAAATACTGGTCTTCTTAATTAAGAGTGGCTTCAACCTGGAGAAGATATTAGCGAACCACTTATTTCAATTTTGAGACCCTAATGCATAAGCTTGTAAAGCTTAAGCTTAGGAACTTAGATCCCTATGTAACTTGTACAACTTGATGTATTAGGAAGGTTTTAGAGCCCTCTTGTTACAGAGAAAGCTAAATTTTGGCTAAACTCAGCATATTTCTTATTAAAGCAATAACAAATCTAGCTTAATTATGCTTTATAGTAGGTTAAAGGTTTGATTAAAGACTTAAGTTTGAATTTTGTGACTTGTGGGGGAAAATTGTAATACAGTCAACTCATAATGTTTAAAAATTTCCTTAAAAAATCTTATTCAGGGAAGCCAAAATTCGAAGTATTCGGAAATTAAAAGAATTGATATTTTAATGCAGTTTAAGTAGATGAACTGAGGTATGAAAAGATTATTTATTGTTAGAACCACTGATTGAGATCAAGTAGAAATATTTACATTTCATAACTTGGACACAAGGAATCTTGAAAATCGATCTTACTACATATATGTTTCTTCATTTCCAGACCCTCAAAATCCCTCTAAAACGTCCAATTCCGCCTCCTAACTTAATTTATCCCTAATTTCTAAATATTACCCTATTTCTCTCTCTTTGTAACCTTCAAACCCTATTTTTTCTTCTTTAGTTCTCCCATTTTCAATTCTGTTATTGACAAAAGGGGTTTTGGGGTTTTGGGGTTTTGGGGTTTTGGGGTTTTGGGG